TTGATGAAGGAATACTTCCTAACTTATTTTACGAGGCCAAAATTATCCTGATATGAAAATCAGGGGAGGACAACATAGAAAAAGAAAATTACAGGTCAATATCTCTGATGAACATAGATGCGAAAATCCTTAACAACATAGTAACAAATTGAACACAACACTATATTAAAAGAATCATACATCACAACCAAGTGGGGCTTATCCCAGGGATGCAAGGATGGTTCAACATCCACAAATCAATGTGATGTGCCACATTAACAAAATAAAAGATAAAAATCTCATGATCATATCAATAGACGCAGAAAAGTCATTTGACAAGCTACAACATCCATTTATGAAAGAAAACACTCAATAAAATGGGTATTGAAGGAAAGTACCTAAACATAATAAAGCCCATATATGACAAACCCTCAGCTAACATCATACTCAATGGTGAGAAACTGAAAACTTTTCCTATAAGATCAGGAACAAGACAAGGATGTTCACTCTCATCACTGCTACTCAACAGCACTAGAAGAGGAGCATTTGAAATCTTGCTTCCTGGCATATGTTGTCAGTTTTGGTTCAAATAAAATCTTACAAAAATTCTTTACAGGTTTGGACATTCAAAAAAAACCCAAAACAAAATAAAACAGTACTGGAAGTTCTAGCCAAAACAATTAGACAAGAGAAAGAACTAAAAGTTATCCAAATTGGGAATGAAAAAGTAAAACTGTCACTATTTGCAGATGACATGATTCTATATATAGAAAACCCTAAAGACTTCACCAAAAAAACTGTTAGAAACAGACACAGTAAAGTTAAAGGATACAAATAAATATATAAAAACCTGTTGTATTCCTATACACTAACAGCAAAATATCAGAAAGATAAATGAAAACAATCTCATTTACATCACAACAAAAAGGATCAAATATGTAGGAATAAACTTAACAAAAGAGGTGAAGGATCTGTATGCTGAAAACTACAAGATACTGTTGAAAGAAATTGAAGAAGACATATAGAAACAGAAATATATTCCATATTCTTGGATTGGAAGAATTAACCTCGTTAAAATGGCCATGTTACCTAAACCAAAATACAGATTTAATGCAATCCCTATCAAAATCCCAATGGCATTTTTCACAGAACTGGAACAAAAAATTTACTCAAATTTGTATGGCATCACAAAGACCCCAAAAGCCAAAGTAATCCTGAGAAAAAAGAACAAAGCCAGAGGTACCACACGCCCTGACTTCAAACTATACTACAAAGCTATAATAATCAAAACATCATGGTATTGGGAAAAAAAGACACATGGAATAGAATTGAGAGCCCAGAAATAAACCCACACATACATGGGCAACTAATTTTCAACAAAGGAGTCAAAAACATACAATGGAGAACGGAAAGTCTCTTGAATAAATGGTGTTGGGAAAACTGGAAAGCCACATGAAAAAGAATGAAACTAGACTGCTGTCTGACACCATACAGAAAAATTAACTCAACTGGATTAAAGACTTAAATATAAGACTTGAAACAATAAAATACATAGAAGAAAAAATGGGCACTAAACTTATGGACCTTGGTCTGAGGGGTTTTTGTGAATTTGACCCCAAAGGCAAGAGCAGTAAAAGCAAAAAATAAATGAATGGGACTATATCAAACTAAAAAGCTTCTGCACAGCAAAAGAAACAAGCAACAAAACAAAAAGGTAACCAACCAAATGGGAGAAGATATTTGCAAATGATACCTACAAAAAGGAGCTAATATCCAAAACATATAAAGAACTCATAACAATAAGAAAACCAAACAATCCTATTTAAAAATGGGCAGAGGACCTGAATAGACACTTTTACAAGGAAGACACAGATGGCCAACAGATATATGAAAAGATGCTCAACAGCACTAGTTACAAGAGAACTGCACATCAAAACCACAATGAGATACCACCTCATGCCTGTTAGAATGGCTATATTTAATAAGGCAAGAAATAACAAGTGTTGGAGAGGATGTGGAGAAAAGGGAACCCTCATACACTGCTGGTGGAAATGTAAATTGATGCAGCCACTATGGAAAACTGTATGGAGGTTCCTCAGAAAATTATGAAAAGAGCTACCATACAACCAAGCAATCCCTCTTCTGGGTATCTACCTGAAAAATCTGAAAACACGTATTCGTAAAGATATATGTACCCCTATGCTCACTGCAGCACTACTCACAGTAGACAAGATATGGAAAACCTACCGTATTTGCCGGCGTATAAGACGACTGGGCGTATAAGACGACCCCCTAACATTTCCACTCAAAATACAGAGTTTGTTATATACTCGCCGTATAAGNTAAACACACACACACTCCTGAAAGATCCATGCATTGGGACATCTGAAGGTGGGTGTATTGGAACGAGTAAGGGAGGCAGGACTGGGGGAAGGACAGTTCAGTGCCCACCGTGGGTCCAGTGAGCGTGGTAATGGAGAAGTCAGGTTGCAGCCTTTACACTACAGCCTGGAGTATAAGAGGGGCAGAGGCGGTGTTCCCCTTCGAAAAGGAATCTATCTCCTTTCCCCTTCTCCCCATTGTGGCAGGCCCCGGTAGAGGTGGCTGGGAAGCCTTAAACAGTACAGCAGTGACAACAGGGATGAGGAGCAGAGCCATGGGATCACAAGCTTGCCTCCTTTTCCCCACCCATCCTGACAGAGCCAGGTAGAGGCAGTGGAGATGCCTCCAAAAACACAGCAGGGCCAGCGACCATTAGTAAAAACGAGGTAGCACTGGGAGTTTGCAAAATCAGTTCTCTACCACTCACCACATTCCCCCACCACAGTGGTGGTACCCCATAACCGACACCACCTGGTCACAGAGGGGACACCTACCATGCCAGTGAATACACAGCATTTTCCTTAACTGAAGCAACACTGCTTCCCCATAATACTAGACACACAAATAGTGCAAGTAAGAGAAAACAAAAACTTGCACTATACCACCATTAAAAGAAAGTACCCCACCAATGAACCTGCTGAATTATTGAGAGCAAAACAGTATATAAACAAGAAAAGATTCCACTACCTAAAATGTGCAGGTAGTATTCATCAAATACCATGAACAACCAAGGAAACATGGAAGCACAAAGAAAATGAAAAGTCTCCAGAAACCAAAGTCAAAGTCATGGAAGACTGTGACTTAAATGACAGAGAATTTAAGATTGCAGTTACGAAGAAGTTCAATGAGATACAAGAGAACTTAAAAAGGCAGTTCAATGAGTTCAAGAATAAAATGAACAAAAGGAGTACTTTACCAAAGAGACTGAAGCTATACAAAGAACCAAACGGAAATTACGGAGCTGAAGAACTCAATAAATGAGATGAGGAATGCACTAGAGAACACTGGAAATATAGCAGACCAGATGGAAGAGAGAATTAGTAAGCTCGAAGACAGAAACCTAGAAATGATCCAGGAGGAAAAAGAGAGAGAACTAAGAGTTTAAAAAAAAATGAAACAACTGTATAAGAACTATCTGATTCCATTTTAAAGAGCCACATAGGATAACAGGAATGTCAGAAGAGGAAGAGAGGGAGAAGGGAACAGAGAGACTACTCAAAGAAATAATTGATGAGAACTACCCACGCTTATGGAAAGAACTGGACTTTAGAATTAGAGAAAGCTAACAAAACATCTAATTATATGAAAGCAAAAAGACCTCCAAGACCCATTTTATTCAAACTGTCAAAAATTAATGATTAACAAAGAAAGAATTCTCAAGGCAGCCAGGGGAAAAAAGACTGCAACTTACAAAGGAAACCCCATTAGATTATCATAATATTTTTCAGTAAATATATTACAAGCCAGGAGAGAGTGGAAGGANGCTGCTCTAGGGAAAGGTTGGGCTGACCTCTGCAATTCCAGAAAGGAAAGTCCACAGGTGAGTAACACTGTAAACAGCCACCAGGACAACCATATGGAAACCAGAACTCATATCTGGCTTTCTTTTCAAGGTTCCCCCTTGAAAAGGTTTTCATCTGACTTCTAACTGCCTCTTTCTCCAGTAAATACGATGTGATTCAGGAGCATCTTCTCTATGGGGGTTCATAAAGCCCCAAGACACAGTGAAAGAAAGAGTCTTGTTTGGGAGTTCCCACTGGCCTTCCCCCTACCATTTTCCATTAAGGTGGTCTAAATTTTAAGTGGTTTCATTTTATCATTACTCATGATATTGATATAACTTTCTGTGATAAGCTCAAATCCCAGAACTGTCTCCAAGTGGTGAGGGGAAGGTGAAAGTATATAGTGTTCACCTCTATTCCAATGCCCAATGAATATAGGCTGAAGCAGGGTGTGCCATCTAGGCTTTGGCTGGTGAGGCCAATGGCTTAGCTATTTACTGGGCACTGCAAGCCAGGCTGGGCCTCTCCTTCAGAGGCCAGTATCTAAACCAGAGCCCACCAGTTCCCTGCCCTTTATCCCTGGAAATAGGTAGTAAGACCCACAGGGAATACAGGGCAGGCCCAGGGAGAGCCTATTAAACGCATTATCTGGCCACCTTACGTGGAAGCTCAGACAGGCATCCCTCTCCTCCATACCACCATCTGCTCCCAAATGAGCTCCAAGGGCAAGCTGTGGGCAGAGGACACAGGCAGTCTCTACAGGGACACACCTGTCCTGAGTAGTCCTGCCTACATGCTACTGGAAGGGCAGAGCTTAGGGATTAGGGGAGATAGTAAGACTGAGGCACTAAGACAGCTACTCGGATCACCTGGGGGGAGCTATTAAGCATGCTGAGTTCAACAGTCTGAATGATCCTGATCCAAGTGAACCACACTGGCCCAGTCTCGGCCTTATCAGTATCACTGCCTAAAGAAATGGAAGCGTGTACTCTTCTCTGGGCTGACAACCATGGGTACTTTCTCAGATCCAAGAGGGAGGAAGTTCTGGGTTTCTTTGAGCATAATCTTTGCCCTCCTTTCCTGCTTCTTTTGGGACCGGTGTTAAAAATTCCCTTTAGAGAAAGAAACTATACTCACCAGGGGCTGTGATGCCCAGAATTCCCAGGTTCCCCAGCTGCTTCCAAAACTCCTGCCAACAGAATAGAGCACAGTGAGTTGTGAGAAGGCAGCCAAGTCACAGGTGCCTGGACGCCTGGAACAAGGAAACCCAAAGGCTTCACAGAAAGGGGTTCATACTGAGGGAGGTTTCATTTACCAGAAGACTGTGAGCCCTTCCAGGCAGCAGTGCAACTCCCAGCTCAGCCCAGCCTGGCTCCTAGACTGCCTCCCTGCCCCCCCCAGTGTGGGCCTCAGAACTCACTCGAAGGTTCTTGAATTCATTGCTTTGATCAATCTCCTGGGCATGTGGGGCTAGGTGCTCCTGAACGAACTTAGACACGGTCTGACGAAGCTAGAGGGAAAGAGGTGGACAGATTGAAATAGTACATTATTGCCATTGAGGACAGCATCTCCGCTACTGAGGACGCATTCAGGCAAACAGCCCCCAAGTAACTTCACCAAACAGCATCAGACTGAAACTTAAGAGAACCATTAGTTTATGCTTCCTCTGAGATGATCTTCACCCCTTTTTCTTGAGGTTCTCAGTCTAGACAGCTTGAAGATTATTTTTTAAATGCCAGTCGCCTACATAAAACCATTCCATGGCTTTCCACTGTACTTACAAGACGGCCCTGCATGAGCTGACCCTTCCAGCCTTCCCCAGTGCCTCCCCCTGCCCCTACTTACTGTGCTCCAGTCCCAACCCCTTCAGTTCTAGGTGCATTACAGGCTCTTTTCTAAATGTTGGCTGAAAGAGATTAGACGCTCCTCTTGACAGGAAAGTTTGAGGAGTAGGATTGAACCCTTCCCATCCAGGGTGATTTAAAGCTGTCTGCTGACTGTAAACCCAAATGGGCTTTGGAGTTCCGGGAGGCGTAGGCACGTGGTCAGGATCACATGAAAATCCTATTTCCGGGGAACTCTGTCCAAGTGAACAGTCTCCTTCTCCTGGAAGGGCTCTGGTTCGGCTCCACTTTTAATAACATTTTTCAAGTATTTTGTTCAACGTCCGCGCTCTAACTCAGTGGGGTCAGATTACACTGTGCATTTCAAAACCTCGGGGGTGTGTATTCGAAAAAGATTTCTTGGGGATGATGATTAAACAAGTTTGAGAACCATAGCCTTGGACAGTGTTCAGGTGTAAGGGGGCTTCAGACAGATTGAGGGCCCTTTTGCTACATACAGGTGACCCCTGTCTTTGACTCCCCATTTAACTCCGGCAGCCGGGCACACGCTACAGCTGGGTGGGCGCTGGGAGGAAGAGCGCCGGCGACCACAAAGCCGGCGTATGGGGCCAGGCCAGGAAGCGCTGGAGACGGGCTCCCTACCTGCTTCTGCTCCTCGTTTAGCCCGTTGATCGCATCGTCCACGGGCAACAGAGAGTGGGCCCGCTGGGAAACGAGGCCGGCGAGCGGCGACAGCGATGTCCGAAGCCTCCAGCTAGCAACGCGCCGTCCCAGGAACCAAGCTGTAGTCGCCATCTCTGCCTTGCGCTGGCGCGGGAGCCGCAGCTGCGCCGAGGTAGCTCCACCAATCCCTGGCTTCCTTGCCCACAACAGTCCGCGAGGGGGTGGGTCTCCAGCAGCCTATCATCCTCCGCTGCCCGCGGAAGGCCACGCTGCCCTTGGCC